CCGGAGGTTCGATCTTTAGACCATTAAGCCATGATGTACAAACCCTGCTGACCTCTGTGCCTCCCTTTCAGTACTGGGGTATTGATCGCTGGGCTGCTTTGTAAAACACTTTAAGGTGCTCTGACAAAAAGAGCAATATAAAAGTTACCTATTACTTACAATACTGGTATTTACTGAAATCAATGTATTTTTTAACTGTTACAGAAGACTGCCTTATATTTGCAGTACACTGAAGTGTGTACATAAAACCAGGCTGTATGAAATACGCGCATTGCTTACCTTGGTGAAAACATCTCATTAGTTCCCTTTTCCCCTCTGCAGGTGCTTCATGGGTCTCCAGTTACATATTTTCGTGATGTATGTGGTGGTGCTGGCAGCAGCAGCCTGGCAGCAGGCAGCAAGGCTTTACCAGCTCTCAGCAGACAGACCTTTTGCACGTTGCTACTGCAGAGGCTACTTAAGCCACTAATACAGGGGTCAGATTCTCAGTTTAGGAAAATTAGCACGGATCTATTGATTTCAGCTGCTGTTCCCAGCTTTACCCTAGTTATGAGTTAATCTGTAAAAAAAAAAAAAAAAGTTATACTTTTAAATAAATAGACCAAACAAGGAAATATATGCCCGAAGCCTTGTGTTAAGATTACTTTCTAAGGAAACAATTTTACAGTAAGGACATTTCCCTTTTCATCTATTATGTGATAAGCCCAGTATACCCCAATAAAATACTGGTTTTCCCATTGCAAGACTAAAGGCTGTCCTCTACCTGGCATAGCTCTTGACTTTCAAAAACAGGCCATGCAAGTAACTGAGTATTTTCTTCACTGATAGAAAAAAACAAGTAGGAAAATGAACATACTCAGAATGAATCACTGATTTTACTGGTTTCTGTTCTGTTTTGCAGATATCAGTACCGAAGAGATTAGCGCCTGTATTGGCCTGTCCATTGGCCTTAGCGTCAGTGACATCAAACTGCATTTGAAAACGTCTGTGTCACCCTCTGGTTGTGTAAATAAAGGGTTTCTGAAAACTGGTATGACAGCAGGGCAGATGTCTGTTAAGGCATCTTGCATCAATTCTTTTGGCACTGGGCACAGAGATTCAAGTAAGGTCGCACAAGGGTACGAAGAAGGGGGCTCTGGTGCCATCCCCAGTCATGGCTCAGGCCCAATCGTGGAACCAAAGTGACTTTGGGTCCAAGTCTCCAGCAGTACCGATTGCTCCTGAAAGAGCAGGAACTAAAGTAGCAATACCTGGATTAGAAACACGTGTAAATACAGGCAGTGGGGTGGCTGGAAGGCTGCAGTCCCTATAGCCATGACAGACTGGGCATGGACGACAAGGGCAACATGGCAACTATTAAAGAAGTCAAAACTGCCTATAAAAAGTACTCAAAGAGCTCTGTAAATCACTTAACCAGCTACAGACAGCGTGATCTACTGCCCACGTGCTAACTAGAAACAAAGGCTGGAGGCGTGCAGGCTCTTCAGGTCTTACCAGCTTAGAGCATTTGGGATGCTCACCTCATCACCAACTGCCTTGTGATAATGTGGCAGGGCTCACCCTGCGAGCAGGGGATGCCAAGCTCCCATCGATTTCGAGAGGCAGCATCACTGCCACTCACCGATAGCCCCTTGCACGACTGATCTCACCTCCATTAAGCAGTTGCTCGTGTACGTGTGGAAACAGTAACTAAATAACATGGGCGTAATTCAACTTTTCAGATGCGGAGAGCAACAGTGCAGTTGTGGAAGACATTATTCCCCGGATTAGAGGTGGAGATACCAGTTACAGCGGAGGGCTCTTAAACAGTTGGGATGGCAATATGTATCGTCACTGGGGAAGGTCATTAAAATATAATCCTGCTGTTATTGATTTTGAGGTAAGGCTTTTCTGCAGTTGAAGAAACTCTGCCACTATAAGGAATGAAAGTGTAGTCGAGCAGATCATTTTGTATTTTTATTGTGATCCCATCACAGAACAAGATTAAATGTAATGGGCCACTGGTCTGGTAACCTCTTATTCATTTCACAATGGGGAGTACATCTCCCACCGACTGCATCCGCAGGGAGACAGACGAGGAGCTTAATGCTGGATTAGTGCCGAGTTAAGTTTCTGATGTGTCCCCAAACAGCTTCCTGATGAATGGCTCTCTGTGGTTGCATTCATCCCTATTCTTCTCCCTGATGCTGCCCACCCTCCTGTATACGCAGGAGACCCACGGGGTGCTGGGGAAGGAGTCTTGCCCCCCTCAACAAAGGCTCTGCATAGACCCCCCTGCTTTTCACCTGCCTCAGAGCCTCAGTGGCTATGCCTAACCTCTGCAGACCATGGCTGTTGCTGTGGCAGCCTCCAGGTGTTTTTCATGTAGGGGGCTTCTGGCTGCTTTGTCAGGTGGGTCCTGGTTGGCATCAGAAAGCCCTGAGAAAGTAGAAGTGCTTTCAGTTCCAGCTGAACCCATACTGCAGGTTATTCACCTTTCTGCACAAGTTCCCATCAATTCTGGACAAAATTTATTGCAATTTTCCAATAAACCATGCGCTGACCTCCCTGTTGGCTGCTCCAGAGCTCAGCAGTCACTGTGCAGCCCGAGCTGCCGATAAGTGCTCATGTCCACTTCAGCAGCTCTTATCTGCAGATCCCTCTCATTTGTTAAACAGGCTTGTTCAAATTTGTCTAAGAGCTCTTCCCAAAGCCCAGCTGATCCTCCCCACGAATCGCTCTCTCTGCAACTTGTGCAATGAGATAATGTCCAGCTCTTCTCTAGGACAGGTTCCCACTGATTCCCAGCCAGGACGTGCAGCATTTGCACAGATGCATGGATGGGCAAATAGAAATATGTGTCCTCAGACCAGCCTTGGGCTTTTAGCTTTAACATTCAGTCGAATTTTTGTTACTGGTTAAAATGGAAGGGCTGAGATTTTTCAGGGAACAGTTTTCTAAAACCAGTTTAATACCTAAAATACCCCAATGAGCCATTCAGAGCATTTCAGGAGGTTGAATGCTACTACCAGCACATGAGCCCACAGCCCTTCGGCTCATCCAACCATTTGTATAAAGCAGGTTCAATGGAGAAGGCAAGTTTTAATTACAGTTGCCCATGCTGGCCTATTTCCCACGCTGTGCTATTTTTGCTGAATGGTGTATAGGAACTGGATTTTGCTACTGGAAATACTATGAGCATGTCATATTCTTAAAGCTGTAGATAGCACAATATTATTTTGCGGCATCAAAGGACAAAATGTAGGCAGGCAAAATTCTCCACGCTCAGCGTTTATCGGATGGTTCACAATCTGGTCACCATTAGTGGTAGATTGGCATTAAGGTTTGATGACACCCACTGTCCAAAGCTCTTACCAAAACATTTTGGCTCAAAAAAGCAAAAAGTATGCAAGAATCCCTGGGATTGTGACACCACTAAGAAATCAGTCAAAAAAATAGGCTTACTGGGGTGTTTTAATTTATCATTTGAATCCAGACTGAAACCCCAATGCATGTCCAGAAAAGCCAATCCCATACAAACCTCTAAGATGAGGAGGGTTTTGGAACGGTGGTTTCTCACTGGAGCCCATCAGTTGTGGTAATGCATTTGCATGATATACGTGGAGCTGTCAAGGAAGATAAATGATTTTTTTCTGAGCCCTGAGTTTATCCAGCAATGTCACAGCTCTCTGACTGCGGTGTGGCAGCATCTCGGTTGATGCCCAGCTGAAATTGTCTCCATGCTATTCATCTCCATCTTACGCAGCTGCAGCCCATCCATGAAATTCTCCGCCGAAGCAACCTTGGCGACATGGAATCCAAACGGCAAAATCTGAAACGGGCTTTGGACGATTACTTGTTGGAATTCAACGCCTGCCGCTGCAGACCGTGCCAGAACAATGGTGAACCCATTTTGGTGGGAGACACATGCTTCTGCCAGTGTCGACCAGGTTACGAAGGCCCTGCCTGCGAGAAGACGAAGCGCCGAGGTAAGACCCCAGCGTGCACCCAGAGCAGGGGAGGGTAAAAGGCAGCAAAGGGACAGGGTTTGCCCCTTCACATGGCTGACCAACAGCTCTTTGCATCCACACATCAATCAAACCTTTGATTCTTCATCACTTTTATTGCTACGCTATCCTAAGCAGCCCTGCAAGAGACTTAAATAACAGCTCAGGTGATTATTATAAATAAGTTAGTGGAAATGAGGATACGTTTCATAGCTGGAGACTTACTGACATGTTGCAAAAAGCTGAGCTGGGGTGCAGCAGCAGCATGCAGGCAAAGCCCGGCTGCCCACATTACCAGCTAAGCGGTGGGCTCTGCCTGCCTGCAGTGCTCTACGGATGCAGCTCATTACTGTAAACGAGACCGTCACCTGGTCCTCACCAACTGGCACAGCACAGCCTCGGGATGGTGAGTCTCCAGAGCACTCACGGCAGCCCCCTATGGATGCCTGCTACAAGGGCGAGGGTGCAAACCCTGACGGGCAGGGCAGGAAGGGAGGCCGAAAGGGTCAGGCTAAGTGACTGGGGAGCAGGGCTCCAGCAATGCGCCACAAAAAATGCTGTTCTAGTAAAAAATTGCCACATTGCCAGATTCCCCGCCTCCCATAGGGAAACATCTTAACTAGAGGGAAGTATCTGTTCTGGAGGAGAAAAAAAAGTGGTTTTCCAAAGCAACAGGCTTTGATTTATGTTTTCTTCATTACTTTATATACTATCCTAAAAAATTAAATGGGTGGCAAAAAAAATCCAACCTTGGAATGTGCTCTTTTATTTTTGTCCTGATTTGTGACAACAAAAAAAATCTAAATCTCAGCACTTGAAGCTGGCATAAAAATCCATCTTCAGAGCAGTTCCAGCAGGCAGAGCTCCAGGCCTTCAACCATGTGCTCGTAACTGGGGTCTCACCATTGGAAAAGCAAAGCTGTGATGCAATGAGGAGTAAGAGCAAAGCTGGGTAGATGGTTTATAAAGCTGAGCTCAAAAGCATTGCTTCAGTGACTTAACAGTGGGCTTCTTAAGAAAATCTCAGGTTCTTTGAGTTGTCTCCAAATCCAAGGAATCTACCTTAGATGAGAAGCATGGAAATCTCAGGACCTGGCCCCAAAGCAGCCCACCAAACTGGCCGGTCCCTGTGCTCCCTGCTTTTAGCAATAGTGGGGACACACACACCTCCAGGTCATGGGGAATGAAGCAAATGTTTAGTTTCAAAACTCGTTTAAGAGCAAACGCAGTTTTTTAAAGAACAATGTTCCAGCAGATGGGAAACCCAGCTTTCCAGCCGGCACTAAGTAAGAGCACACACATCCATTTGTGCTGTCTGGATCAATAAAGTGCCCAAGCCAGCCATGAAGGCCGGTTGAGTAAATAAAAAACGACAGTAAATGACAGCCATCAAGCATTCCCATCATTCAGGAGTGCCACCATAATCCATAGTATCGAACTCCCCTGACAACTCAGTCTGTTCTGTAATGAAAAAGCCTTGAAATCACCCATCTCCAAAGGGACTGGCAGACTTTTCAAAACACCTCCACGACGTTGGGAGACTTTTGTCCCTCTGCCTTGGTTGGAGGGGAGAGAGTTACTGCACAGAGAGCTGGCAGCTGCCCTGTGGGGAAGGAAAGCCAAGCCGCAGCCTTTCAAATGAGCAGAGGAGAAAAAGAAACAGCTATTGCTGTCTGAAGAAGGTGATGCTGCCTCATCTGCCCTGGCTTCAAAGTGCCTTCATCTCAACAGCCATCTCTGTGCTGGGCATGGCTGGGATGGACCAGGGAGTCCTGCTCACAGCAAACGTTACAGCCCGAACTGAAACCACAAACTGGTGGTGGCATTCAGCTCAATCTTCCTCCCCTGCTCCCACCCTGCAGCCGGGCCATACGCAGCACTTTAGATCCAAATACCCTTTTTTCCCCTCCCTTTTTTTTAAAATGCATTTACAGGCAGTGAGACAGACGGGCGCTGGAGCTGCTGGTCGCACTGGGCTCCCTGTGCGTCGGGCACAACGCAGCGCAGCCGGCAGTGCAACAACCCGGCCCCGCGGGGCAGCGGGCAGCCCTGCATGGGGAAGGACCTGCAGAGCAAAGCCTGCTGAAACCCCACAGGACGGCATCGCTCCCCATAGGTACGGGGTCGAGAGCGGTTTGGAGTCTGGGCTGGGCTATAAATACTCCGGGCATAATCCTGCAACTGAATTACGCTGGGGGAAAAATAATTGTCAAGTATTGCGATTCTATATGTACGGACATGCCGAATTTGCTGTATAAAACCCGACCAATTGCTCCAGTTGATTGAATGCATGCCTGGCTGCCCCTTCAACCTTGTACCACGAGATGTGATGGGAGCCCCACCAGCCCCCAGCAGCACTGCTGTGATACAGGAGCTGGAGAACCCACATGGGTGGCTTTGCTGCTGGGTGATTGTGGGGCTATAACATATCATGAAATAAATTCACTAAAAGTGTTTACATAAGTAAGCTTGACTTGCAGAAATTTTTATGTTTGCCTTTGGAAAACACATTAAAAGCTCATGATCCTTGCATTTTTATGCAGTTGGTATTGACATATGTACCATGAAACTTTTATAAGTTGGCGCTGTCAGATTTTTAAGTCCAGCATATTGGCCAGGGCTGCATTTGCAGCAAAGCCATATGTTGCTCTGTATGGGGAGAGGCTTAAGCCTAAAGACGCAGAAGCATCATTGCAAAATGTGAACCCAAACTGAGGAAGAATCTTAAATAAAAAAGTAATAAATAGAGAGGCTCGAGCACAACCATTCGGCAGAGGATGTTCCCACACAAGCAAAGGCTACTCCTCTTTAAGGTCAGTGATGAATCGACTATTAGCACGCAGGCGTTTTATCTCCCAGGCACCCAGAGCTGGAGAAGATGCTAACGGGCTGCTTGATTTAAGGGGCTTTTTTGAATGTAAGACGTAAATCTCAGCACAAGAATACACACAGTATTGAACTGCGTCCAGAGACCACAGTGAGAGCCCGCAGCTCCCTCTTCTTAATGAACTGCCACAAAAACCTGGGGTGGACGGAAGGCGAATGGCACTTCATTTTACTGTGCTTTTCATTACAAGGAAAGAAGCCAAAAAAAAAAAAAAAAAAACCCAAAAAAAAAAAAAAAGCCAAAAAAAAAAAAAAAGCCAAAAAAAAAAAAAAAGCCAAAAAAAAAAAAAAAGCCAAAAAAAAAAAAAAAGCCAAAAAAAAAAAAAAAGCCAAAAAAAAAAAAAAAGCCAAAAAAAAAAAAAAAGCCAAAAAAAAAAAAAAAGCCAAAAAAAAAAAAAAAGCCAAAAAAAAAAAAAAAGCCAAAAAAAAAAAAAAAGCCAAAAAAAAAAAAAAAAAAGCACCCTGTGAAGGAATCGGGCATTATGAAAAGCAACAAAACCTCAAAGCACAAAGGAGCACTTCTATATACATTTGAATGGAAAGAGGGAGTGGAAAGGAGTCTTGGTTTAGTGAAAGAAATTGCTCAGCTATAGCTCTGATTCTTGGAAATGCTTGTTGTTCAACAGCGTGTCAGTGGTGATTTAGAGTCTGACACTCAGCTGATGTAAATCAGTGTCGCTCCTTTGCCACAGCTGATTTATGCTACCTGAAGATCTGGCCCCATATTTTCTTTTATGTGCACGTTTGCCAAAAGACAATTTTTTCACCACTTCTCTTTTGCTTGAAAATGAAACTATAGGCTGTTTTTGTAGATGGAAACAACAAACCATGTCGTCTCCATCACCGAGATGTAGTTGTTCTGTGAAAAATCTCCATGCTGAGTGGTAAAGCTGTGGCCTTTTGGCCAACTTTGTTTTTCCAGGTAAAGGTGATATTCACCCAGAGATGAATTTGCTCCCAAAGGCTTGAACCTGATGCCTTCTATGTTGGGAAAATGCAGCAGCCTGAAACACCTGTATATTCCTATGATTTAGACATGTAGAGGAATGTGAAATGCAGAATCAAAACAAGTTTTCCCATCAATAGTGTTGGGCTGGCAGGTTATGTAGAAACATGAGACAGTGCTCTTACACCAAGGACTTTTTTGGCTCATAGCCAACTCTTACCTTTACACCGACTGTGCAGGACTCAGGAAAATGCCTGAAAGTGAATGAGTATAAAGTCAACTTAGTTAGAAAGCCAAGTATGCTTCTTTTGTAACCAGAGGGAAGAAATTAATGAACAGGAAGACTGGATGCCTTGGAGGCTGGGGAGAGACAGGCCCTGCAGGAAGGCAACTTGCATCCTCAGCTTTTAGAGCCGTTTCTAGAAGGATAGATCATGGACTGGAGAACCACAAAAAAAAAGAATAAATCCAAGTGATTAAAGAAACCACATATGAAATACCAACCATGAAGAGCATATAAATAAGAACAAAAAGCTGGGATTTGCCTGCAGTCGTTCGTTTTCCACTTTGAACACCACGATGTTGGAATATAGAGACGAAAGCGAGGATACGTGCGGGGCAGAATTCATCGTTCACCTCACAACCCAGGGCAATGAAATACAAACCCGAGGGTTTCCTTCAAAAGCCAACGGGAGCTCGGCAGCAGCCCATCTCCTCCCGCTCCAGTCCCCCGCCGCAGCCAGGGCTCAGACATCCGCGTGGCTGAAACTTGGGAGCAGTGAAGCTGAAGTCAAAAGAAAGGAAGAAGCTGCCTGTAAGTCTGGAAAAAAAAACAGATTATGAGCAATTACACATTTACAATGCCAGTCAAAGAAGCTAATATATCTCATGCTGAAGTGGCCAGCGTGAGAGTTGTGCTAGATGAGATAAGAAGCAAAAATGTGCGTTTCTCACTTAAACTAAAAGCTTAGAGGGTACAATAAAACACTGCAGTTCCATCCTGGTTTTAATGAATGGATTTTCCTCTGTTGCACACTGACATACATTTGATATAGTTATTTATCCTATATATTTCTTGCAGCATATTTCCCAGGAGACCTTGTTTATCTCACTCATAAGTACATGATGGATGTATGGTGCTTTGGATAAACGGTATCACAATCAGATATTTTTATGGATATAGGCAAACTGGGTTATTAACAAAGGAAGGGCAGAGAGGAACCAGTACGCAAAAGAAAATAGCAAATGATTGATGACAATACACCTGAGGTTGCAAGGTGCAGACTCCAGATAACCAGCTAACAGAGGAGTAGATAAGGGCAGTGCTTGAGACAGAGCTGTTTTCTACCTCAGGGTCAATGTCACGCTGACTACCCGAACGCCTGTGTCCCCCTGAGCCAGCGATTTTAGAGCAGGCAAAAAATTCCCCAGCAGGAGTGGCTCAAAAATTATTGCCTTCCTTTTTATACAGTGTGATGCAGAGGCACAAGAAGATACAAAACATTTAATCCTACCCCAAAATACTTGAAACAAAAGAAACACCAGATTCTGGGGAGTTTGGAGAGGGAGTGGCACTTGTGCTGCTGTATCATGCCCAACACAGTGGGACTCTTAGCGCTGCACTACAAGTAAGTAAAGAACAACAAATGTTCATAATGGTAATAATTACTGGCTTTATCTCCAGCAGCATGTTAAAATAGGATATAAAAGTAAAGACAAATCTGCAGGCTTAATTTGACCTGAAATTTGGCAGTTGCCTTGGGTGTTTGCTAGGCTCTTTAGCCATCAGGGTAGAACAACTAGGAACTGGAAATCTGGGGACTGTTAACACCTCTGCATGCACATTCTGGGTCTCTTTCAACAAAACCTCTCCATCTGGGAGGGAACCTGGGGAGGAACAACTATACCCATCTGACCGAGGGAGAAACCAGAGCATTGCAAAGCAATTTAGCAATACTACGAGTACCATGGTGTTTGCAAGTCCCCAGCCACAGCCCAGACCATGTTCCAGCCTCACAGGTAAACATAAAGTGTCTACATGATACGAAAAGACCAGGAGCAAGTGAATCCAGGCTGGAAACCAGCCTGATTTATCCATTCCTGATAGACATGTTAGGGGCTGCAAGAGTCAAGCTGGTTTTGTCCTGGAAAAGCTGGATGTGACAATTACAACTTACCTAAAATACCCCTTCAGGAGCTTCCTAAGCCAGTCTGACTGGATCCAGCACACATCACAGCAGCAATGTCTTCAAGCAAGAAGGTGGAGAAAATACAGCTTGTCCACGTTCACCGAGTTTCTTTTTTTTCACAAGCAAATTGCTTGTGAAAATGTAATATGGATGTAGAAAAGCCCACTGAGACAACTGTCTTAACCAGAGAAATGGGCTAGAGCAGCGCAACCAGCACTGAACATGCACACATTGCGCCTGCAGCCTTCCCGAGTTCTCATACGCAGGTTATTAATCTAAACTTACACAGAAGGTGAAAGTTAGAAACACCGGTAAAAGATAATACCAAAATTTAATGCGTACCAAAATGAAACAATAAAAGCTTCAGCATAGTATTTTTTATTATCCTCCAGGTCATAATAAATCATTAGTTGCTTGAATCAAAGCACAAAATCACAAGGACAAGATAAAGTTATGTCCTTTATGGGAGGCTTCTAAGCCTAAAGCCTCAATATTCAACCACTGCTGAAATCACACTTCAGTTAGGCTGTCCCACTGATCTTGAAGATTGTCAAGTCCCTCCTCCATTCCTCATACGC